AAGTTTCTCCTGCCAACACTATTACCACGTGATTTAATATTTGATTATCGCATAATTGAATCCCCCAACCCTAGATGGCACTCATGTACCGTTATAACCTCCCAAAGTTGATATGCATGATGGATAGATTTTGCTCAATATTGAGAGGTTATCAGATTTGAAAACATTAATTTTTTTGTCAGATTTGAGAAATTGATAGGGTCGGTTTTGAGAGGTTCATCAGTATTCTCAAAAACTATCCTAATACTTATCACAATATAATAAGTTTTATAAAACTAAAAATAAATTACTTTCACAATACAGTAATCTCTATTGTAAGCAATATATAAATTTGCATCTTTGTAAATTATTATAAAACTAGTTTTGATACAAGATAAAATGATAATAGTTCGTACAGTTTGTGCAATAAAATCAGCATTTTTTGATTACTTTTTTTTTTTTAAAAAAAAAAAAACTATTTACCAAACTACACCGTTACCAGGTCAGATATTTTATCGTCACCAGAGATGTCTAATATATTTTGTGCTGCTATAAAGCCTACATTAAACAGGACATTAGATTGACTAAAAAGAAGAAAGCGAACTATCACCACATAGATTCAGAATCACATCTTCATGGCCTTGACGCCTAACAGTAATGGTTGTATAGTTGTCCGCATACAGTGCATACCAGACATTAGGCTCCAGTTTCTTAGGTACATTGGAATTGTGCCGAAAACCAATAATTGCCCACCGATCAAACAGAATATTTTTGAAACTGCCTTCACTTCCAAAATGATCGATATGGTCTACCATCTTTTTACCCTCTCTCATAAGTCCCACACCACAATTTAGCTCGCCATTAATGTAGAAATCAAGATAACCTTGAATTCCGAACACTTGAAAAACATCAGGTCTGATTGAGATTCCTGGTGGCACAGCGGACGTTGCAGCCAATAACCACTCGGTTTGCAACTGTCTCTTTATCAAACGCACACCCTCATTACGTCTGCAACTCAGAGAATTAAGTAATGTCAATGGTCGCATTCGCTCAATGCTGAGAAGTAAAAAGTTGTCAAAGTCATTACTTGATTGCGTAGGTGATGTACGTGCCTTGAACAATTCAGTTCCCAGTATAATACGCACGATTGGTGCAGCAAACTGAAAACATCCTCCTGGCGCATCTGTGATCAAACCCGAACGCTTGAATTTCTTGGCAATTCGATCCATTTCCTGATCATATAGATCTAAAATAAAAGTTGAAGCTGAATCGACTTTGTAATATGCGTTTCTCAAAAAATTGGCGTTATCACTTGTTAGTTCCAAATTCGTTATCCAGTCAAAAACACGTGTATCTTCGATGTTCTTGAAATAATTAGGAGAGGCTAAATAAAGAAGCATATCAGTGGCATCATTTTTGCCGCCACGCCGGCAATAATTTTTCAGACAACCCAGTGACACCCTCACAAGGTGTGGATATCCAGCTGTTGCATTGAAAATTGCTGTCTGGAATAATGAGCATAAAATCTTCGTTTTCGTAGATAAAATTAATAAACTTTTTCACAAGTGCATTGTACTCTGTTCGCGTTAGACGTAGCTGCTCTATTCCCAGCGTATGCTGAAATTCGATGGGCGTGTAATTTTCATCTCCAATTACTATTGGGCGATCGCTATACATGCTTAATAAAATCACACGCAAGTTGTGATTGGGGAGATCTTGGAGGTTCTTAATGTCATTCCAAAAAAAAGCTGCTCTGCCATAAAGAATTTGAGCTTCATCGATTAGAATATCTGTTGGCGTTGTGCTATGGAGGCAGTTTGTCCAAGTTTCTCCAGCAAATTTCTTCCAGGAATCATTGAAGATATCCTCATTTTCAAAAGCGCCAGAGATTCTATTTAAATGATTCATTGAAATGCGGCGAACCACGCGAACGTGATCTTTGTTGTTTAATTCAATCCATCTTGCGAATGTTGTCTTCCCCGAACCTGGTGGGCTACACAGACGAATGATTTTATATTGATCCCATTGCCGATTGAATTCAGACAATCGCTCTTCAGAGATAACCACGAGATGATCATCAATATCAATGGTCTTTTTGTAAGATCGTTTTATTAATGCGCTATGAACATAAACAAATAACCTAATATTTTCAGCGAAGGATTCCTTGATTGAAACATCACTATACGGAACCATAAAGTCGTTGAGGATATCAACTAGCTTCTTTTCTCCATCTTGTTCTGTTGCGTTATCTGCTTCTTTGACTTCTATTTTCGTGGCCTTAATAACAAGTTGACCCGCAGAATAGGCGTTAAGAAAAGGATATACCTCTTTCTTGATCGTTGTTTTGAGGTCAATCACATCAACAACTTTTTCCAACGAAACTTTATCCCAGTAACTTTCTGGATTCATTAGCTTGAACAGAGCCTTTGGAGGTTCCATGTCGTTGTCTATTGCAGTAGAATATAGTTAGAGAGAGAGCTATGTTTGTAGTTTATGTTTGTTAAAGTTAAAGTTAAGAAGTTACAAATCTTTGTTTTCACTTAAAATTGAAAAACATTTTATATGTACGTCAAATTTACTGCGCAGGCTGCGTCTCGGATCCAGTGATTAGATTTGGAATCGTCTTATCGAGATGATCTTTTTGGTGGAAAAATTAACCAAATTGGATCACTGGGTCAAGTTATTTTTGAAAAATTCCGCTATAATTTTGCTTGCCTATCCCTAGTTATAAACAGTCCCAAATTTGGAACTACCAAGTATTGTAAATTACCTTATAAGCCGTTTTGCGTACGTACGTACCAGGGGCAAAATCCAATTTTTACTTTTATTCTGCATTCATAGTTATTTCAAAATGATAACGTTACCGAACGAATGCCTTATTGAAATATTTAATAATTTTCAAACTAATTATAAAACCTTATTTTCGTGCCTTTTTGTAAACTGTCGATGGTTTAGAGTTATTGTACCAATATTATGGAGTGAACCTACAAATTATTTCGGTGATAAAAGACTTACAAGAATGTATTTATTAGCATTAAATGCTGAAGAGCAAATTCTACTGATCCCTTTAAAATTATTCTTCCAAATATTCAAAGTCAGTATTTGAGCACGGAAGTTATATTATATCTGTTTTTATTTTGCCACCGTAGTCAAAAGGTGGCTTAAAAAAGAAAAATATAAGTCAAAAATGATAAAGATGAACTTGCAAATGCTATAAAATTCTCTTTAGTTGCAATATTTCTGCGGGTAAGTAAAAAGTTTAAACATTTAACACTTGATTATATTAATTAATAAAACAATATTAGCAAGTGCGCTTTACAAGAATACAACGCTATCTTCGAGTATTTATAAATGTAGGCTTGGACCAGAAAAAAGAAATGCATTAGCAGATGCAGTTTGTAAGAACACCACGCTGACTTCTTTGAGTCTTTCGATTAATAATCTTGGATTAATAAGTGAAGAGCATTAGCAGATGCACTTTGCACGAGCACTACGTTGATTTCTTTGAAGCATGTTAATAATTTTCTTGGACCAGACGACGGAAAACATTAGCAGATGCACTTGGCAAGAACACTACTTTGACTTGTTTGATATCAAATACAATTTACTTGGTTTAGAAGGTGAAGAAGTATTAGCAGATGCACTTTGCAAAAACACCACACTGACTTCTCTGAATATTAGTAATAATAATCTTGAACCAAACGCGGGAAAGCACTTGCAAATGTACTTTGCAAGAACACTACGCTGAAAGAATTGAATCTTAGTGGAAATGGATGGTATTCTTCTTGCTATAACAGACTTTGACCAGAAGGAGGAACCACTCTAACTTTTTTGAACATCTCTTGGACCAGAAGGAGGAAAAACATTAGTAGATGCACTTTGTGAGAACACTACGCTGATTTCTTTAAAGTTTAGTGGTAATAATCTTGGAACAGATTTTTTTAAAGCCTTAGCTGATTCACTTTACAAGAATACTGGTCTGACTTCTTTGAAACTTGAATACTGTGGACTTTGGGAAAACGTTAGCAAATGCACTTTGCACGTTGACTTATTTGAATGTTGAATACAATAAATTTGGATCAGAAGAGGATAAGCATTAGCAGATACTCTTTGCAAAAACGTCACACTGACTTCTTTGAATCTTAGTAATAATAATCTTGAACCAGATGTTGGAAAAAATTAGCTGATGCACTTTGCAGGAACACTACGTTGAAAGATTTGAATCTTAGTGGAAATAGATAGGATTCTTATTATTATAACAGACTTGGGCCAGAAGGAGGAAAAGCATTAGCAGATACACTCTGCGAGAACGCCACTGACTTATTGAGACCTCTCTTGTAATAATCTTGACCAGAAGGAGGAAAAGCATTAGCAGATGCACTTTGCAAGAACAATGCTTAAATTTGAATTATAATAATATTGGATCATTAGAAAAAGCATTAGCAAATGCGCTTTGCAAGAATAATACTTGAAAAGTTGAATATTTTAATAATAGTATATGTTTATTATAGAGTCAAACAATCCAAGTATCTATATAAATCAAAAAATGTATAGAGTACAAATATAAATGATACAAATATAATTACAAATTATGCAGCCTAATATTAAAACATTATAACTACTAATAAAATTAAAATTTGATGTATTAAAAGAATATTTTTATATACAGTACTTTGTAATATTATTTTATTTATAAATAGGAAAAAAAACCATTTGTTTAAAAACTAAAACCCAGAACAATAGTTATATTGCAAATTTTATAATAAACTATCATATAATAATATAGTTTTAGTTTTACCACCAACTAATAATTTGACATATTAGTATAATAAAATATTGTTAGCTGTTGATAATTTAATAATGTACTATTATGATTTCTACACGTCTGTTCTAATTCACGTTTTCGTAC